GCTTAAGATGACTACACACACATCTGATTAGTTCCACTTCTTTAAAGCATTATAATTTATTCATGCCGATACTCCACATTAACCACTTTTAATAACTTTTAATAAAAGGGAAAGCACTAAGGAAATGACAAAGGGAAAACATATGAAGGCGCACAAAGAATGAAATGTGGCTTTTCGAGCTACACCAGGAGATGCTACTCTGTTTGCTGCAGCCATCTCCATGCATGGAAAAGGATCTTCTGGCCTGGTGCCCTCAGAATTGCTTTATATCCATCAAAAGTCTGTTTTTTTGACAAGTGATTATCAAACAGATCTAAATAATCTGCTAGGTTAGTTATCTGGAGAAAGACTTGAACAACTTGATCTGAATTGCTTTGAGTAAGAGGCTGGAGTAGATGAAATAGAGAAGTCCTTTCCAACTGAAATTATTCCATGATTCTATGCTTCCCTTGGATTTTTGTAACAGAATCAGCCACATAATTGCTTTTAGCACTCTCCATATAAAAATGTATATTTAAGTTTTTAGAGAAGTGCTTACTGGTAATAAGAAAATTTAACTGATGTCCTCCAAAGCCGATAAAGCATTGCTACAAACACCCCAACTGCTAAAAGTCTCTCTGTAGGGGGCATACAGTTAAGTTCTTGATTTCATTACACTAACACTGTAGCAGAAGCATAACATCGATGTTAGGTACCAAAGAATCCATAGACGAGAGTTTTATGAAGAACTTCAGGAAAAAAAACTTACAGTTGGAATTTTTATCTTACAAGACACCAGACAGCCAAACAAGAGCAAGCCCAGGATGGAGAAATGCAATTTTTTGCCTCCAGAGATGCTTGTGGTTTTTTTTTTTCCCTGTAGTTACAGCATTTATAAAATTTCCCTCCAATGTAATTTCTCTGATATCAAATAACTGGCTGACTTTGAGTCCATCAGGGCGTTAACATGATTTCCCTACCTTAGCACTCTTCCTCCCCAAAACTGCTACACTTTTCTCTGTTTTGTCAAATGTAGTTGACCATTTGTTTGGCGACTTCAAAAGTTCTAACACACACACATCATGATCAGACAAGCCAAGAAATGACCACGTCATCTTGTTTTTCTGCAGCCTGCTGAGTCATCTGCAAGCAGCAGCCCCCCCAATCCCAAATTAAATATGATCAGGTAATTAAAACCCACAAAAACGTGGTTCTCTCCTTCGCGGCTTAGCAGAAACTTGATTTATTCAGACTATCTCACTCCTTCACAGTTTCAATTAACTGCTCTTCCCTCTCTTTAGCCAGGCTAGGCAGCTGCCTCACTTGCATACTCACCCAAAATCTCCTTTCTTCTTCTCCCTAGCCACATCCCAAGGCCTTGTGGTATCTACAAGAGTTCTGCTCCACAGAACTGGCAGTTTCTTGATGGGAATGTACAATTCTGGTCTTCATTATTGAAGACAAACACACCTTAGCTGGCGTTTAAGAATCAGAAATTCATGAGAAATCATTGAAACAAAGAAACCAACTCCTAGGATTTAGTAGGGAAAAAAAAAATGAGAAGGAGAAATTGTCTCTTAGTGTGACCAGCTAGAAATGTGTCACTGCACTTCTTTCAGGAGCCCTATATTAACTATATTGGTATATGCATCTAATACTACATGTATTAATAGTCTAAACTAAACTAGTCCATTTTCTACTGGAGGAAACAGTTATTTTTAGATTGATTTTTGTATGACATAATAAAACTGAAGGTACTATGTCAATACATTTCATTCCAACTTCCAATAATCACCTGAAAAAATATTTATGCCTAAACTTTTGGGGCACATTATTTTTCCAATATTCCATTTTCAATTTCATTCTCTCTCCAAGTTAAGCAAGTAGGCTATTTTTCCTAAGACATAGATGGAGTCACTTCAGCTTACAGGCCAGAAGTGGCCTGGTTTATTTAGTACAACCTGCAGCCATACCACATTTGCCTCTCACACACTGGCATTCTGTTAATGACATATGAGCACATTCAGTTTTTCATGTATGAATTTATGGGACAAATTCAAAAGATATTTGGAAATTCTTTTCAGCCGTCAGCCATGACAAAGTTTCTCAGCCTTTTGTAAAAGAACAGTTTCTAAATGAGAAGCAAAACCTCTTTTTTTCTCATGAAACACTACAAAAGTGACATTAACTGCATGTGGTTGTAGTTCAGACCCAAACAGAAGACTGTTTAAACCAAAGTGACACCGTAAATTAAGTTTGTATCCCCACTCCAGAAACACTGTAAAGACGGTGGTTCAGACAATGATTTATTTTCTCTTATTCTATTAAACGCAGCAGCAGCAAATTAGAGGAGAGGAGAGGTTGGAAAAAGACAGAAGATTACACACTGGGATTACTAGAATGCTGTAGCAGCTAATTCTTCAGTAATCAACAGGCTGCTGTGATTTTTTTTTTTAGAGTCTCTTAAGCTGGATATTGTACTACTTGTACCTCTGTTGATATTTACTAAGAAATCTTTCACCAAAATACATACATTACACACTGTGTGGGTTTGCTTATTTTACTACTTGATTTTTAAGCATTCTGTATTCGCTCCAGTTACATGTTTTTGCTATCTAGTACCATCCACCATGGGCAGGTTAAGAAGGGCAAATAATGTGTAAGTTAAGAAATCTCATATTTGGAGAAACAAATACTAACATCAGGCCCATGTGTTAAAAATATCCCACTGGGTCTTTTTTTTTCCTTGAATAGGCTGTGTCCTGCCCTAATAATACAAAAACCCTTGTATTCTAGGATTTTCTAAAGAAAAACTGGCAAATGGTGAAATGAACTCTGCTCACAGTCCACTGGTCTATCAGCAGTGACTGCCATGTAAGAAAATGAACGGCTGTCTTCAACCATGCTTCTGTAACTACAGTATGTTCTGAATCAAAGAATATGCAATTAGAAAACGCATCTACTCTGACTCCAAACTTGAATCTTAATATTTTTAATGAAAAAATACTAATTCGTAAATCTTGAAAGTGTTGAAGCTTGCTTAAACAGATCAAAATAGTAACCCTCTTCCCAAACCAAAAGACCACCCACTACCAATTTCAATATTGTCTCATAAAACTCTGCAAAGTAACTTGACACTCTGCCTCGATGTATTTTAAAAACACTAATTGGATGATTAAAGGAACAAAGACTGAGTCATTTGACAGCTGCTGAGAAATTAGAAGAATGGCCACTGAAGCAGTTAGCACTGAAAATGGCAGACACTTCTCAGGAAGCACGGTGTTGTGAGACGGGTCACTATGAAGCCAGTAACAGTCACAGGAGAGATGTCTGTGGCCCAGTGCTTACTTCTACCTTACCCATTTGGGGTCTCGATTTCTAAAACGAGGACTGGAGTATATTGTCACTGTATAAAACTATGAAAACCAAATATATACTGCACAAACCTAGTCCAGAACATGTATGTATGTAAGACCCAGAGACCTATAATGCAAAAGGGCATCAGAACATTTAAGCAATTGAGTGACTTCTGGTTTGAAAAACACAGAATTTTTGCATTTCAGGTAAAGGCACAGATGCAAAGATATGAGACTCATCCCTCCTGTTGCTTACTCACTGATTTGTAATGTGCACACACGGAACATGGCACAGTTCCCCTAGGAGACAGAAACGACCTTACAGAAGCTGGAACCTGCAGATTCCACTTTAGGACAGGGGATTTTTCTGATAAAATTCTGGTTGCTGTGAGAAGAACAGTGAAACCTACGTTTGGTTCTGTAACTCCCAAAGCAGGTATCAGATGGGAATTTCCTTTGAATCTTCTTTGGTAGAAGAAGAAAGAGCCTGTACAAATGTCGGGAAGATTTCTTTTTATCTGTGAGCATACTGAGAGTTGGATCAGGCCCTGCCATCCAAAGCCGTTGCTGGTGCCAGGCTGTAAGACGTCTTCCACGAAAGCTCCATAATACAATAAACACAATGCACATTTAAAAAAAAAAAAAAAATCCAACAACTATAACTCTACTACAACTAAACATACAAGCAAAAACACTAATTTAAATATTTCCACATGGAAACATGAAGAAAAAGACTCTCTTACAACTTCTAAGTGATGAGAAGAGAAACTGGAGATATTTCATGGTCTCCTAAAAATCCTAGGCTTAACAAAATGTAAAACTTGCTGTCATTTTCTAGGCAGTAAATGTTTTACTGCTGGGAAAAGATTTTGATGTTTGTAATTTCTATTGAAGAGCACTACAAGGTAGTTAAAAATATTGCCACATCTGAAAAACAGACCAACGGGAAGTCTAAGACACTTGTTCATCTGTATTTCTGTGACTTTTCTCACTTGGTATTATTTGCAACCATACTTTCATGTCTGGCAACAGTGCCAACTCTACTAAGGATCATATATTACTTTTATCATGTTGATTACATATGTTCACCAGTTTTGCTGCCTATATATGATTAGTGTGGTTTGCACATACTTAAGAGACACAATCCAGAGCATGACATTTTCACAGAAAATCTGTTTACTGAGAAAGAGCTCCTTAGAAGTATGTGTTCCTTTCAGCTTTGATCTACATGACATCAAGAAACCTACAGTTTGAATATATGTTTACCATTTACATTATTAAGATCTATATCCTTCACACTCTACGGCTACTGAGCAATTTTGAAGCCACAAAAAATTCCCTTTTCTCTTAGGTAAACTTAGTAGTAGCTGAATAAAATAAAGCCTCTTAAAATGTTCTCATCTGTGAGCGTAAGCTTCACAATGACTTGACATTTAAATTCTGTTATTCATCAGCACTTCACAGAAGAATTTGGTTTGTCTAAATGGATTTGAAAGCCCATAAGTGAAGAAAATCAGAAAAACCTGGTTTTGAATATCAAAAGATTGCATGTGAAAAGTATTTTTACAGGCTGCACGTACCCATTTTATTGATCAATTAACTTTACCCAAAATTAATTTTTCTGAGACCATATACGAAAACCCAACCCCCTCCCCCAACACTTACTGATAAATGTCTTTTCTGAGCACAGCTCTACTAAGAGGGTTGTCAGCCTGAGGAGCCATGGAAACAGATCCAATCTTGAGAACCAAAGTGTCTTCTTTAATTGCTGGATTAGCTGTAGTTAGGAGAAGAGAAAAGTATGTGTTTGATTAAAAGTCAAACGCACATGGCAGAAACACTGAAAAACTACTTCTTACAAAAATCTAAAAAGAATGTATGCTAAGGATTCAGTTCTGCTGAGGAGCAACAACTAATGCAAAAAAAAGCCATAAAATCAACAGCATTGTTGTGATACATAAAAGACAAAACTGTGTCATTTAATTTCCCCACAGACTTTTATCACACAACTAAATCCTGGCCTGTGACTTCTCATTTTCTCTGATACTTTTTTATTTCAATGTTGTTTTTTTTTGTCCAAAATGATATTGATCCCACAGACTTCTTTGTGATCTGTCTGTTTCTCCAACAATTATCTGCTGAAACATCAGCACGTAAAGCACTCTGAATCATGCACCCTTTTTAACATGGGCCTAGGTCCTTTAGATGTAAAATACTGCAGGATATTAGAATGTAATCATCCTAGTAGCATTTGACATGGGTTGTAACACACAGGAAAAGTTCAAACACAAGGACTGAAACAAGAGAATCTGCAACCTGACACATACACAAAGAACACCATGTAGTACTGGACAGTGAATTCCACATCAGTAACAAAATTACTCCATGAAGAAAAATCGCTGCTTTTCACTTCATCTCCATCATATTCAAATTTCAGCCACATGTATAAATTCCTAGTTTTAAAAGTAGTGGTCATACTAGATAGAAACCCAAAGTTCTGTTCTGCCCCCCCCCAAGTAGTACCACCTTTCCTGTAGTAAACAATCCCTCTGAAGTTTCCCTAAAGGAAAAGACTGAGTCTACTGCATCTCCTTCTCAGCAGACACGGACACACACAAAGCATTTGGAAAAGCTTCTGCTGAGGAGACGTCACAGTAACTAGGAAGCTCCTGAGAACATGTGATGCAAGCTCAAAGAGTTCACCATCTGAAATGAAAGGGTTCACTTCAACACCAGCATGATACATAACAAGGATGGAATGATATCACACTTGCTCCCACGTCCAAGGAAATTTTGCAAGACTTTCATATATGAGTTCTGAAAACAAAATGATAGTAGCAGAACAGACTTTAAATATGTTACTGAAGAGTAAAATGCTTGGTGTGGAAAGAATGAGCAAAATCTACGAGCTTAAAAAATGGCTTCTCCAGACTAATTAACATCTTGGTGAATAAGACACCATGCTTTGCAGCTATATATATACATAAATATATTTTTAAACAGATGTAAGAAATCACAGAATCCACAGAACTTTTACTCTGATATTTTGAAACAATTGTAGGGAATACCACAGTAAATATGCAGCAGAGAGGTTACGCAAGTTTTGACACACAACTAAATCACAAGGGTTTTACTTAGAACCACCTCATTACCAAAAAAGCAAAGTCAAATACATCAGTCCCCAAAGCAGAGCAAAACCATATACAGATGGTTTGGTTGCCAGAACTAAGGTAGGAAAGTTAAGTTGAAAACAAAATCCTATTTGCGACTAAAACAGAAACCATAATTTCAACTTAGATGAAAAAATGAGTAAAGCATTGTACTAAGTATTAGAATTCCTGCCATTATACACTTAATGTGTTGGGGTATTTTTTCTCATACTCACATAAGAAAAAGGTATTAAACATACTTCAGAATGTAACTGCAACTTAATTAGTTGGCAAACGCCTTATTCCGAGAAGCGGTTCTTGATAAAATATATCTTAAGTTAAGAATTTTAATTTGTCTCTGACACTTAGCAAAGCAAAATAAACACAGGCTACTCATCACAGTCTCTATTATGTAAGCATTTTAGGATTTTTTTTTTTTTCAAGACTCGGCATGGTTCTTTTGTGTGCAGCTTCCTGTAGGTCAACGAACTCAGTCAATCTTAGAAAGAAGAACAGTCATTAACATTTTCAGCTGGCTTCTAATGAGTGGGAATCTGAGTCATGACTTTGGTTGATGAATTCGTATCTCTATTTACTAACCCATGAATTCCCCCATTAGCTTTTCAAAATATGGGAATAATGTAGTAAATGTAACCACAGTCATTACAAATATTTTAAAATTGGAGGGGGGGGGGAAAGTCTACACTATACTATGCAAGTACAATATAGGAAAAACTTAGAGACCCAAGTGTAATAACGTTCACAATCTCACTTGGTTTTACCCGCTCATCTCTGTCTTCTTTTTGCTGAGCTAAACACATTAGACTCTTTCAATCCTTCCTTGTAAGACTTCTTCTCCAGCACTTGATTAACATTTGTGGTGCTTTTCAGCACCCTCTCCAGTTTTATCAATTGCCATTTTTATAACAGAAAGCAAATTGGACATGATGTTCCATCATCTGCCACATGCAGAAGCACAGCTACTGCCTTTATTTCTTTTCACTAAGTCCACTGTGACCCTTAAGCTGTTTTCAGCCAGTTTTCCAGGATAGTCTCTCCAGTCCTGAGGATGTAGTCTACATAATTTTTTTCATTGAGACACAACTTTAGCTTCAGAAGATTTAGTACAGTTTCTGCAAGCCATGATGTAAGCACAGTGATCCAGATGCATGGCCTATAGAGTCCTTAACATTATTTTCCTCAGGAAATTCTTTGCAACATATATTAATGCTATCAGCAATGGTTTCATATTTACTCTCAGATTATTAAATACCAATTTCACTTATTATTCCCAACTGAAAAATTATTTTTTTTTCCTTAGAGTTCTAGTTAGCCATTTTTAAATTCATTTAACATTTCCACAGGTATCGTATGGGGATGTATTTAAATTAGATTGTCATGAGACACAATGTCAAACTCCTTACAAAAGTCCAAGCATATCAAATCTTCGCAAACAATTTATCAACTTAGAATTGTAACCATAATGAAGAATAGAAATCAGATGTGTTTAACAAGACTAACTTTCCATCAAACCATATTTATTATTGTGTAACAGATATGTAATTCCTTATTAACTGACTCCTGTAATAGATTTTTTCCCTTATGTTCTCTGAAGGAGAGCAATAAAACTACCTGTCTTAATTTTATCTGAACATGAAACTTTTCATTTTACTAGATATACCTTCAGCTGTCTAAAACCTGCACTTCCAAGGTGTGTTAAAAATTAGCCTCAGACGACTAAGATCCCTGAGCACAAGTTACTCAGTCTAACTGATTTGAAACTGCTTAATAGTAAGCAAAGAGAATGTTACAGACCATGTGTTACAACAGACATCAAAGTTGGGAGTCATGCTCATGTGACAAGAATATATCACTTCTACAAATGCAGGACATACGTTTATTTAGTATGCCACCTTTTCTTTTTCACTATCAACAAATTTATCGTGTCCTTTCTAGTGCTTCCTGATATTTTGCTCCCAGTAAGTATCAAAAAAAGTTCCTATTGTCCTCAAACCAGCCAGATGTGGATTTATCACTTCTTCTAATCACTTTATCACTTCTTCTAATTCTAATTCTTCTAATGTTTTTTTCAATTTTAATTTTTTATTTATAGTGTTCTGAAAACACAGTATTTCTTGTTTCTGTTTGTTATATATTGCTTTTATATATTTAGTTGTCTTTACTTCATCACTATTTAAATTAGAGCTGCTGGCCAGAGCTTGAAACACCACCCGATGTATTAACAAATCAAACTCTGAGGGAAAGTAGCATTGCTTATTGCCTAGGATAGAATGCTGCCCTCAAGTCCACCACAAAAAGAAATGTTCATCTGGTGCTGCTCTAACAAACCACTAAACTAAGATGTTACAAAATTGTGTGGGTGTATCCATGCATGTGGGTATCTAAATTCCTCAGGAAAAAAATGATGATTTTGATGATTTCATAGTGTTTGTGCACCACAATTCATGGTGCAAGTTTGGGTTTGGACTGCACGAATAAACAACTCTGTTTTTACTCTATATGTAGAGTCACAATTACATGTGTTTTTTGGGTGGAGGATAGTTTTGGTAGCTATCATTAGGTATAAGGCATGAACAGCAGACGATTGACTAGAAAAGAAACTCAGGTCATTATGTTACTACTTTTACTGTGGTGCTCACATCCTGAAACATGCAAATCGTATTGGATTAAAAAAATCTCTTAAGCAATAAATGATGAATGAGGTCTTATTGGGGCAATAATATCACAACATATACCTTTCTGACCTAGGACATCAGTAACGTGGGTCATATTCAACCCTTACTCCTTATTCTGGTTCCTAATTTATACTGTCCGTGCAGACAATAAGCAGCAGAAGAGACAAGCAAGTTATTTCACATTTAGAAACAGATGAGAATTTGGGAAAATGTGGGGTGAAAGAAGAAATTTTAGGAGAATGGTACTGATTTTCATTGCAATGATATTTCAGAATTTTCTGGTTGAAGAGGTTAGCTGGCTTTCTTATTTTAGTAAAGCTAATCTTTAAGATTATTCTTTAAAAACACACATAGTTTTTCTTTCTACATCCATGCTTAACCGTGGCAATTCTGCTCTTTGCATGCATTTTTGAGCAAGGAAATAGCAACAAGACGAAGTTTTTTATAATTTCTTTTTAATGAAATATATGGCTAGAGAGTTACAAGACCATACTTTTTAAAAAAAGACTTCCTTGACAGCATGCCCTAAAACTCCCAACAAGAATTATAATTCTTCCTTGCCAACAAAGCCACTCTAATTTTATCTTCCTGTGTTTTCAGCATTCCCAGCTGGAAAATTGTAGAGGATGCTGGCAAAAAAATGATCTATGTAAATTCTCACTGTCTGCACTTCTTCCAATCAGGTTATGAGAAAAATTTAAAGACTATACTCTTAGGATTATATTGCGTGCTATCATATATAACGGTAAAACAACCCCCATACCTATAGGACTATTTTAACATCAGCATTTCTTTTTTTTTATATAAAGATTGTAATAAGGATGCAAATATATTTTATGTATGAAGGGAAAACAATTTCCTACAGGAAAAAAAGTATTATCCATAGATCAAATGGCTACTTACCATTGTTTGAAAGAACAGTTTATGCTATCCACACTTCTGTAAACACCTGAAAGCCTTTTAAATAAGGCAGTCTGAATAGCTTCAACTAAGACTTCTAACTATATCATCTGTTGGGCATCAGTCACAAGGTACATTTTATTAACTTTTTTGAAACCAGCATATCTACCTATTTCACTATTGCATATTTTTCTAGGTGCCAATTTCTGCAAGAGCTAAGGCTCCCTGCTTGCACTCCATTGCTGGAACAGGCATCCACAGAAGACTGAACTGCTATCAGTTTAACGAGAGCTGACACAAGAATCACCACTGCAGAACTGGGTTCTCTTTCCACAATTCTTGACCATTTTTTCTTATTATATTCACATTTTAAATGCAAACTTTGTAGATACTGGGAAAGCAAAGATCAAATAAATACCCAAAACCTTTCTCAGCAAACCTGCAGAGAAGTAGCATGAGTGTTAGATGTTTCCTAGCTCTGACCCTTAAAACTGAAGGCCCTAGCAATGGTCAGCAATGTAACTAAGTTAGAGTATTTGTCTACAATGCTGAACACAAAAAAACAAACTCTAACAAACTACTGTACCTTCTGCAGTATGACGATCTTCCTCATTTTTGGGAAAGAAGACTCTTATTACACCAGTGTTGATATAAATCAGAGGCAAGTTGCGGGAAGTTAGAGCATGAGTCCTCATTGGTTGGCCTGGTGATTTTCTTTTCTCCTTTTGACTCCTGGGCAACCTGGCTTGAAAAATGCTTGCAATCGCATTAAGCAAAGGAAAACAGAGAACCACATCAAAGGCCTGGGCAGAGAGAAGGATCTCATGAAGAAAGTGAGGAGAACCATCCGTGTGACCTTCTGATAGCTTACGGAACGTTCTTCGTTCATTTCTTGATACCAGTTTGTGTCGGACATTTTTTGTCACAGCTTTGGTGTAAGTGAGAGAAAGAAATCCATGTTGTTGGTGTGAGCCATCTAAAAGTTTTGCAGTTGTCTGTTCAAGGAAAAAAAAAATAAACTGCTGCAAAAATATACACATATAACATCCATCAATTGCTATATTCTCTGTTAGTTAGAATGTTTAGGGTTCTATATTTCCTAACAGGTTTCCACTGTCTCTGAATAGTAGAAAAAAGTTCTTTCTTTTTTTTGAATGATCAGTTTGTCCACTGTGTGTCCACACTTCACTGTATTGTGTCAGCTAAAACTATAAAATGCTGAACATTTTTTTCTCTTCTGATTATTTATGATGTATGAAATTAAAATCCAATCAGCAAAAAAAACCCCATATATTCCAGAGTCTAAATTTACCATGATAATTTTTCACACAGTTAAATATTTTGGTTTCTCCTTCACTTTCGACATTTTAGAAGTAGATTTTACTCCCTTGCACTGTTCCTTCAGTATGTGCAAACACCATAGGTGCTAAAAGGATGCCTGGGTGCTGAGACAGCTTCACTCCATCTAAACACGGGTGTACAAACCACCCATAGTCAATTAAATATTCTAAGAATTGAGCTGGTTTTGCCCTCATCACCTCTGAGTGTTTAAAAAGAATAGCTGCACCATGTGCTAAAGCACATCACTTTATTAATAAAGACACACTGCACTGTACTTTCGAAACAGCAGATTCCTTCACTTAGAAGGACGTGTTTCCTAGATAAAGATGACAATTGGATGCTTAGCTCCCAGAAGATTTATAGTACAGTTTTTATGTTGTCTTTGAAAGTCTTTCAGTCATACACTGTGAGTGAAAAATGTAAAAATAATAACTAGAAAAACTATTGTATTAACAGTGTAATACACATTTTGATAGAATTCTATAAGATTGTTTAAATAGTGTCTTTAATCACATCAGCACAAATGAAAGCAACTACATTTTGCAAGTAGTTGCTTCTTTCAGGATATTAAATTTGATTAAAAACAATTTAATGTAATTTAAACCTTGTTAATAGAACATCATCTCTTTCTTAAATAAACAGGATACATAGCTTAAACGCTGAAAAACTGGAAGCTTTTATCATTAAGTGAATTAAAACCAATTCGTAAGTTCATTTTCTACAAGAATTGAAAAAAAACAGAGTAAAAGTATTACCAGTCAATATCCATGATGAAAACAAATCAGACCACACAGAACTTCCACTAACATAAAAAGATTCCATGCAGCCATACGTTTTTGAAGACAAAGAGCCCAATGTCATAACATACAAAGTCTTTCAAGGATAAAGAGGCAAGAAATAAAAGGGGTTAAATATCTCACACTGAGATACACTGAATGAGCAAGTAATGTACTAAGTATTCAAAAGAAAGACTCAAATACGAAATTGTTATTTGTTGCATTATCATAATTATAAGCAGTAATTTTAAAAAGTTGCACAAAGTACATTGCAGTAATACAAAATACTTAAATCCCTAAGTAGATATCAGAACTACATGAACAAAATGCAGCATTCCATACTGGCTTTTATATATTTGCTCTCCAGACATTATTGTATGTGCTCACTTTTAATATAAATGAATCCCATTGACTTCAGCAGACTGCTGTTATATACCACGTTGTGAACCATGAACCCTCATTCTCTTCTACTAAAAAATGACTGACAAGTACTACCAAAGGATGAGGGAAATAACTAATACAATCAATAAATACATCAAGTAAAAAAAAATAATTCAGATGACAAGAAACTAAAGCCTTTTGACATATATTAGTGGAAGTTCTGTAGTAAAAATTTTTAAAATGATTCTTACAGAGGGAAAGAAGCCAGAGAAATTACTGAAAGGGTCCTGCTTGCTGATGGGTCGAACCAACAAGGTACGTCTGTTCAGCTTGTCAGTACAGGAAAGGAAGACACCTCCATATTGCCCCAGAGACCAAGAATCTTCCCCAAGGCTTGAGGTAATGAACGAGGCACAGAAGAGGGGAAGACGAAGACAAAAAGAGAAAAACAATTGCCATAAGCAAAAAGAATTACATTACACTTGCACGGTTCTATGTAACTGCAAGATAAAGCCTATGCCATACTTCTTCCTAAAAAGCTGAAATTCAATCAGATCAAGCAAAAAACTGGTAAATAAAAAGTTTGCAAAATTTTATGTGAAAGGACAACCTACAGCAAGAGGTCAAGACACATGAGAATAAAAGTATAGTAAAATCTTGCATACAGAAAAGGGACTTACCCCTGGATTTTCAGCAGATAGCTTTCTTAGAACGAAGAGGAGAATGATTACAAAACCCAAGAAACTGTACGAAAAGCTGTACCCGTATATGTTACAAAATTTTAGTATTATTTAGAAAAAATGAGCTATTAAGTATTAAAATGTGCTTTGTACTACAGTTCTTGTAATCATTCTTTTTCACATATAGAAGAACAAAGAAATATATGTTGCTTAAGAAGAGTTATTCAGGTAAACACCTTAGTTTACTAAAGAAATCTCACCAAAAGCTTTTCTTTGCATTGTAGAAATATTCCTTCAAAATGTCCTGACTGCCAGTCTCCCCCTGGCCTGGAAGACAGAATGTTCACCTTATCTATCCTCTGCTTTTGTTTTCAGTCTACAGAGACTTAAAGATAGAGAAAAGTACTCTGAAGAGATTATGAAACTTAAATGAGAACAGTAACAATTTCATCGAGTGGAATAACTTTTTTTTTTTCTTTTTTAAAGTCTCAAAACAGCTTTAGCAAAGAAGAACACCCTGAAGTTGAAAACATTTCTAATGGAGCATTAGGCTCCTGGGAGCGAAGTACCTTCTCTCAAGCTTTCCATAGCACCTGTGGACAAAGCAGTTTGTTAAGAGCACACAGCTACTGGGATTCCAAAGCATTTTAGAGCATCATGACTTGATTTTGAAAGATTTTAGAAGTACAAATTTTGATTATCAAATATTACAATAAGTGCAAACAATAACTGCATTTGTAACTCAGGCAAAAGAACAGGAATTCAAATATTATTTTTTAGACTGCTGATCAGAAAAAAGTCTCAGAAATGTTGGTAGCTTTGCTAAGTTGATACTAAATTTCCTTCCTGTTGTACACAGGGAACAATAATTCTCCAATAACACCTTGCAGACATTGGCTCCTAAGTCAAAATGATTTGTGTTCCTAAATATTTTTGTCATTTTTAATGACAAAAAAATGTTCTGAAGCTTTCAACTATTTTTTTTTCCTCGCAGGGAATAACACAACTATTCTATTTTCTCTTAATCTCTGTCTCCCATAGTGGAATCTGCTGATCTGTAATGGCAAACAGTAGTCCAGCGGATCAAAGACTACCTAGGCCCTCTCTTATTTTGTCAATATTTTGTTCATGGCGAACATGAGCTAGAAGGTGGCACATGCGTCTGAGTGCCAAATGAACGCAGTCACACTGATGCAGCAAGCGAATCAACTAACAAGACTTGCTAAATTTGCAAGACATATACTAGGCCTAATTACCTACTCTACATACACATAATATTGATGATATACTGGTTGACATTCATCACTGAAATTTTACACAGGCGTGTCTGCATAACACTGTGCCGTGTCACATAGACACACATGATTACCTTAGCTCCCTGCATTACAGTGTTGCTCAGCCACAGCTAAAGAAACTGGTCCATTTTTCAGAAACTTCTTTTTAATATCTAAGAGTATGGTACCATAAATCATTAAATATTGGTACTTGCTAACACATCATGAAGCAATATTTAAGGAATTTCCCATTCAAAATTTCAGCTAAAATGAATGATTTTTTGTCTAATGGACCAATAGACCAATAAGTATGAAAAAATGCTCTCCTGATTTGTAATGATTCCTATGTACTTCTTTGGAATCAGATATAATTCTGAGAAAATGTAATTCTGATTTTTATTACTGAAAAGGTTAAAATAATTTAACTGAAACCGAACTACTACCTTAAATTCAAGTTAAGAATTAAGAAAAAACCCCCACCACCTGCCTTCTTCTTTCAGACTGAAATTAAAGGAGAGTAACTCCCAGGAATTACCTGTTTCTGTAATGGTCAATATTGAAGCTTTCTATTTTACATTTGATTTTGGTATAGACATCCTGCATATCCACTGAGGCACTGAGATCTTCTAACTCACTGACAACACAAACTTCTGCAATAGCCAAAGAAAATAAAGATTATTAGTTATTAATCTGAAACTTGTATATTTTCAAGCAAGAAATATATCTGAGACACTACATTTTGTAAACAGGGCAATGCTACTTCTACTCAGGGATTTTTCATAAAGCACTCTTTGATTCAAGTGTCACACAGACAGGAACCAAAAAAAAATCCCAGAATCCAAACCTTTTTATACAAATGTGTAAAGAGACTTATAAATGTTTTTTTTGCTCAGGTGTTCATAGTATTAATTCCTGAAAAAAAAGTAAAAAAATTTTTCCCAAGATATTTACTCTAACAATACTTGAGATTTCTTTCTTTCATGTAATTAGTTTTTTAAAATAAAAAGTATACCTCTTTGAAAAATAGCTTTAACCATTAGTCTCCTTATTTTTTCACATTTCTGTAACAATGTTAATTGCTAAGCAGCAGTTTCCTAACATAAAAAAACTGAAGTCCTGCAGTATATTTATAGAATCCGAGTTCTTTTCAAGCAATTACTGCCCAGATAATAATCCAAATTTAATCTCAAAGAACAAAAAGAGAAGCTGTGTACCACACATATTTCTCTTTTCAACACAGAAGTTGAAAATTCTGTGTTGAACTCCACATTAAACTTCCTAAGACTTTAAGGATTATACTATGATGATTATGTTAAATTTAAATTTGAAATTATCAATACAAAACCACATGCCTATGCATGTGACATATAAAACACATACTACTAAATCATATAAAAATGAAACATGATTGCTTCAAAGGCAATAAATGCAGCAGTCTATTAAGTAAAATGACCAACTGATTTCCAGCTTAATGTAATCTTTCCATATCTTTCTACATGGAGAGGGAAGTTTACGCCAAAGAACAACACTGAATTCTGATTACATGCACTAACCTAACTACAGGTTGTTACTCTAGTTTAAAACACAGATCCAACCCACTATTTCTGCATTACAATGCTTAATGTTGTCAATAAACATTCTGAATAGCTAATACTGTGCTGTAAAATAAAATATATTTTATTTTATAAATAAATATATATGTAAAATAATATATACACTATAAAATATTTTATTGGAGGAAAAAATGATGAATACCTGTGCCATTATTTCTAGGATCAGGAGCAAACAATTTTATAGTAATTTTTGGCAACATCCACTGCATCCAGAGGCTGACACGTCCACTTGAGACTCCAATATTACTTGTTGTTTGTTCCAATGTAATGGAGTCTGAGAAAGGAGAATCATCACCACCCTGAAGAGAATCACCCTATGAAACAGATGTAATAGCTGAGGAAAAAAATATTGCTTTTCACCACTCCTCTTTTTCCTTCTGTCCAGACTGATGCAGATGCCCAAACTATATAAATCCAGACTCACTGATAGTATATTTGAATTAAGTCATTTTTTAACATCAGGAAAAAAATAAAACAAAATATATTCCCCTTTTTTAGGTAGAGATAATGGACTTTGGTAAAGTTATATGGTAAAAGTGTAAGGTTCCATGACTTAGTTCCACTTGACATAGTGAGCTTTCCTCATTAACTCTACACTAATGAAATACTATCACCAATGGAAAAACACAGGCTGATAGTAATATTCTGAGATGCCATGGGAAAGGGGAAAAGCAGACTTGTGCATATCTTGCAGGCAAAGGAAGAAAGACTCGTTGGAAGTGCCAAATGAAGAGCCACCTAGTATGGCCATAACACTTCTATACTACACATGCACTGGTTTTGATCCATCCTGTCGTCATCCCCCCCTCCCTCCTTCTTCTGTGTACTTCCCTGTAATTACTTGGGAAAACGATTTCACAAAATAATAGCTTTTTGCAAGAATTGGAAACATTTTTGTTGCCACTTTAGAAATATTTCTATTGTTTAAAAAAGGTGATTGTCACTCGCAGTATTCTTAATTATACGGTATGTTGACCAATGAGCTTGCAGAAGCTTCTGTGCCATCAATAATCTCCGCTCATTCCCTAAAACATTAAGGGCTCAACAAAGAAGATACAAAGGTTAACATTTTCAGGAAAAGAACATGACAAATGACAGCTATGCTGAATATCCGCTATGAGGGCTTATCACGGCCCTGCAGGCACATTCTGATAATGCTTGATGGCACAATTGAAATATTTACCAGCCATAGGACTTCATTCTGCTCCTTTGCTGGAACTTACTGCCTCCAAATAGGAAAGGAAAGATGGAAACATACAATTGCTCATTGGCTGCTAGTGTTTACAGCCTACTAAACTGAATGCAATGGACACTTAAGTCACTAATGTCAACCAGAAGCCACTAAAAATCCACCAGCACCTTCACCTGCAACTCCACTAAGTGTTGCAAGTTTTCTTCATTATTGAGGCACAACAGGAAAGGAACAGCGTATGGTCACTGTGACCCACGAAGACCAAGTTGTTTCTAAGATTTAGAGACCAATGAACACCCAAAGTCTTAACTTACAATTAAGGCTTTGGGGATTAGGACTTGTGAATTATGATGAATTACATGCTTGGGAATTTTGAGATTTATCTAATCTATTTATCTAATGACTAACCAAGATAATTTATATGGAAGACAGCCTGGAATCAGACCTACACAGAAAACACTGCAGTTTGACTGAATCCATTTTAACCTGTCAGAGACAAAATGATCACGCACTCACTTCAGCTTCAATGTCCCAGACAAACTTACTTTCAGTAGCAAAATTTAAAATCTGACAGTACTTGTCTGACTCTTCAGTCCAAGACAGAAGAACGTGAGTATGGAAATTCTGTTTAGCAATCTGTTTTCTGGACAGGTAGAACTTATCCCAAGCCAAATGACAACAACAATGATAATAATGAATATGCAAAGCAAACTATATACATTTTTTCTACTACCCAATGACCAATTCACGGCCAGTCCCCAATCAGTGATTACAAAACGCCCAAATCCCGAATTTCCCAAAAAAAGTTTGAACACCCAGACAAGAGCGGATTCGAACTCACAGAACCAAGAACAGCCAAGAGCTTCCTGCACCCCTTCCAACCCTCTTTCCTAAACTGAGCGTGACATGACATCTATGGTATGGAACATTTCCACTGGCCAGCTTGGTTGTCTGTCTGGCTGTGCTCCCTCCCAGCTCCTGCACACCTGCTCATTAGCTGAGTATGAGAAACTGGAAAAAGTCCTTGATTCCATAGCAACCACTGAAAACATCAGTGTTATCAACATTCTTCTGGTACTAAACCCAAAACACAGCAGCTACTGGCAGGAAAATTAACTCTATCCCAGGAAACCAGGACACAGGGCCTGTCTCCTGCCATGTATCTAAATGTATTCAATGTCTACCACAGTAGGACATCTAACTGGAGAAAACTCAGATAGCTGATTTCACTAAGACGCATCCACCTCCAAATCAAGTGTGGCACAGTGGACATACAGCACCCAGCAAGATGAAAAAAGACAAAAAGGGGTGGTAACACATCCTAAATAACATGTTCATGGTAGAGGTTAACTGCTTTCTGCCAAACTGTGACTCACATTTCCTATTTGCTTCCCCAGCAAAACCCTTCCTGCCTCTTGCCAGACCTTTTTGTGCTAAGACTCCTATCTCCGAGTACTGTTTACTAACCATGCCTTTGCAAGACACTTCCTACTGTCTTCACAAAATACTCCACTCTCTCCAGTGCCACTTCATTGTCCTACTAGGCAGCACTGACAGCAACATGGAAGTAGATACCTTCTCAGCACTGTAAGCAAAACTCAGTTTTGTTTCCTCAAGGATGCGGTGCCTGTCCTTGGCACGGAAAAGTATGGAGAAGGAATGAAAATTGGAAAACGACCTTCTAGAGTGTCAGGCCTGGAAGTCCCCCAGCATCCAAAAGGATGTAGGTAGAGCAGCCTCTTCTCCAGTACTAACCAACGTTAGTCCTTCTTGCTTCTTCTGGAATGACAGGCTCCATTGACAGGATAATGGCATAAGCCAGGAGGCAACAACAGCCTGGCCATTTTGCCATCCTCCAACTACCCCTGTCCACCCTCTTCAAACACTAGCCTGCCTTCTCTCCAACTATCTACTCCACCTACTTGTAAAGCTATAAAAACACAGGAGCAAAAATGTATCCTTCCAGAGCTGGGAAGAACACCATACTTTGAGAATTCTGTCTCCCTTCCTAATGAGTCTTTATTTGCAAAGTCCTCATTCTGACATCAGAGAAGTCTCATCCTATTTCATGACTTGCAATTTCATGCCATCAGCATGGTATCAGTTCCGAGCCTTTCAATTTCTGCCAATAAACTCATCTTTCTTCTTCTTGTTTCTTATGTGTAACTTAACCAAACAGTTCTTTGACACTCTGCCTTACAGTAATTTCCCACGGCTTCATAATTTGCCTTTGAGGGATACCCCTAAAACATGATGCTTCTGTGCTGGAGTTCATTGTGTCTGGGATGACTGTTCTCATCAAACCTTGCGTGCTCCAGGGACATTGGAGTCAACAGTACTTTGGAACAGGGGGATTCCTTCAACAGGTCAGCTCTGACAACTTCCCTTAGCTGGGATCCTCAGATACATTTCACAGGGTATCAAGAAATGGAAGCCAATTAAAGGTTAAGGACAGAAACAATACACATTTAAACGTGATAATATGTTCCTTTACAGTTCAAGCCCAAGTTCAAGGCAATGTGGATGTTATGTGGAGTGATTTGCTGCTATTCTTTTTCATTCTATAAAAAGGGTTTTTTTTGTTTTGTTTTTTGTTTGTTTGTTTTTTTTTTTTTAAGAGCTGGAGCATTTTCTCAGTTCTTTTTGTACTGTAGGCACATTTAATTTGCCAAAGTGTAACCCAAACTCTGATGGAGGGGTAATGAGACAGTGTCTCCTCCCTGCCCTCCATACACACTCTCACTCTCCCACTTGACATGTTCAAAAACGCTTTTTGTACGAAAATCAAGTTTGTTCTAAAATTTTGGCAGGTCTCTCCACTTCTGATGGTTAAAAAATAAGTAAACAACAAGCATTAAATTAAATTAAAGGGCTACTGTTAACAGCAAATACATACTGCCACCATGGCAAGTTTTGAGTTTTAGAATTGGATTCTTTTATTTCCATACTTTAGTGTGTTCAGATGTTTCACGCATTTTAACTCCCCCCCGAGAGCTGTTTTTATTTAGTGGTTTGAGTATATAGATAACTTTGTTCTGTAGAAAACTGAGGCTATCATTGTCCCACACTTTTCTTTAAGCTTATTTTTCTGAAGGTATTATATGATAATTAAATTCTATGCCTCTCAGAATCATCCAGTTGATAATTTTGGCACAAGGTTACTTGTAAGAGTATTTGGGAGATTCTTCAAGAACTGCATTTATCTAGCATAACCCCAGACATATATAAAAAGCAAATTAAAAATTAACCCAGGAACGTGCAATCAAACTTCAAAGCAGGAAACCCTGAATTTTAGGGAATGTGGCCCGTATCAAATTCCAAGCCTATTATATCTACGAAGCTTACAAAAGAAAAAAAAAAAAAGAGTTAACAGGTACAGGCCCAGATGTATAATGAGAAACTGCTTCCTCTTTTTCTAACTACATAATGGAATATTCTACCACAGGGCCTGCAAGTCCTAACCAGGGCCTCAACTCACTTTTGCTTAGCTTTGCACTGTAACGCTATACTCTGGTTACTGTGTTCCCATCCAGTATTCCAGGTCACTTCTGCCTTCTACCGCTTGGAGTAGCTAGCTTGACAGTACAGCTCATACTGCACTAAGTTGAGGCTCTCAGCGATAACCTCTTGTGTTTGCAGCTATGCCAGCTGCAGAGCTTATCAACAGACATACCCAGCTGCTCAACACCATGTCCCTGTCAGGGGTTACTGCCTCCCCCCATCCCCTATTTCAGCAGTTCAATGTGAACATGCTATCTAAATTTTTTCTGCCATTCAAACATACGTAAACAGTTGAATTGGCCCATTCTCTTTCTCAGTAGCAGAAGTGCCGCAGATGCTCCTCGGAAGGCAGACGTTGCTATATGGCTATCCTTTGGGAGGTGAAAAATGAAGATATTGCATTTCTTCTTCACCTTCTGTTAATGGTACTGTAACCAGAACCACTGTGCAGAGTCACAGGGGCTGAAAAATTGCTGGTCTCCAGTAGCTGGCCTTTTTTTTTTTCTAATAAGCTCAAATTCTTCAAAATTTTTTGCAGTGAAAAGCTAAGAAACTGAAGTGAGAAGACAGACTGCTCTCTTGTTTCTCATGCAGTTTCAATTTTCATTTTGGATTTTCAGC